TCGTAGGTGCGTCAACATTATAGTCAGCTTACCGTATGTGCGTCTCCAAGCCTCGCACCGTGAGCCAGTATACCAAAACAAAAATAGGTTGGAAAATGGGGGCATAAAGGGTATATTTACCATTACTTGCTCTTCTGCTGCTTCTTTTGCTCGATATACTTGGCGTTTCGGGCGGCCAGTTTGTGAGGGTGGCTGTGCCTCTTCTACTTCTAAGAATACCAGTCAGGACCCATCGTCTTCTTGACGTTCGCCAGGCTTTCCTGGCGGCGCACTTTGGCCGAATCAGGTGGTGGGGGCTTTTCCTCCCAGATCTCGACTGCTTTTGGGCCGTTCTCGCAGGCAATACAGCGCCGCACGATGTCCCGCCCGCTGATTGTACGGAATGCGTAGCCGTACTGCAGCTTCCCGCAACCGACACAGCGCGCCCGGGCATCCGTCGTAGACCGCTGCGGGTTCAGCAGAAGCGGGTCAATCTTCGCCTCGCATTGGTTGCACGTAGGGCCCACCATTTTGCAAACTGTGAGTAAGTTAACAAAACGTGCGTAAAATATTAGCCAATAGCACGGTAATATAAGGCTGGTATTCATTATTAGGCAAAATATTAAAATGTTTTATAATATTACTTTCTATTTGCTATATTGATAATAATATCCAATTTTTCAAACAAATACATACATTACATGCAATATAAACTGACAAAAACAATTATCTATCGTGCGCGCATGCATTCGTCGGGTGGGGTGCACGGGAGCAGATAGCGCAATGACCGTGCAGCCGCGCGCCTTCATTGCACGGTGGCAGTGGTGAGTGCCAGGTGAAGTAAAGAAGATATATATTCGCAAAGTCCCTACAAAAAGCGCTGGTCGTGAAGCCTACTTTCATATTAAAAAATACTATCGTCTCTACTTTAGAAAGTGTGTGAAAAATAGCATCGCCGAGCTCTTACAAATGGCCTGTGACGCTTAAATTAATCATATTAGTACTATTAATATCGTCTTTACTTTGAAAAGTGTGTGGAAAATAACATCCCAGAGCTCTTACAAAATACTGGTCTGTGAAGTCTACATAAATAATATTACATATCTCTATTTGAGAAGTGCGCAGAGCTCTTAGAAAAAATAGTGGTTACTGTGCCCGATTCGCAGTACATACGACAGGTTTTGCGTACCTAAATGTCAATAATCAAGTATCTGCGCAGCTCGCCTAGCTGTTTGCAACCAATCGATGCGTTTCGTGCTCGGCAGAAATGTTTACCTTACGTCCAATCGAGAGGGCGATAGACGGTCTGATCGTGCGACAGATCCAGTCAGTTTCGCAGGTCGGCAGGTATTGCCCAATCAGGACGCGAGTTAATTGTGTGGCGTTTTTGGATATAATTAAAATTTTGGCATAGTTAGGTCGAGTCAGAAAGATAGGCGCGGTCGGTAAGATGGGACGAAACTGTATTAGACAGGCCGAGTGTAGCCATGCGAGAAGGCAGGAAAAAGCAGCAAGAAAGGAACCGGACGGACTGACAGACGGACGGACAGGTTACAAGGTTAGGAGGCGGGAAACTAGCGCTCTGGGCGTCCGCTCCGCGCACGCTAGGGCACGACTGGTTGGTGTGGAGAGGGCGGACCACCTCCGCTGCGCTGCGGTGGGCTTAGCTTGTTTAACTCAAAGCAAACATAAAATATATATTCCGTGTTCTACTTATGTTATGATCCAAAACAACACCGCACACAATATCCTGAGTGCTCACATATTATGGTAGACATGACCAGGGTTTAACGTGATCTGCAAGATGAGCACCATCTTACCCGGGAGGTTTCGTCTATAGTCTCATTTGAGCGCATAGCTCCCACAATGACGCCAATCGGAGGCGCGCGTGGTTGCAAATGTAATATATGCTGCTCAGAAGACGGGTCAGTATCCATGATGCTACGGAATTAGCATAGATCGGTGAGGAATCCTAGTTTGGGGGTCTAAATACGCCTCCTCAAACATAATACCATATGTCACGTCATCGCGGTGAGGCAGTCGACACCATATCTTTAATTGCGACGGTCTATTAGAGCAAGGTTTGGTCGGCTTCTCGCGCAAAGTATCTGTTAGGACAGGTACTATTTGCTAATGATCGCCCCAAACACCAATATTATGCCTTGAAATTTTCCCGCTGAGCTCTTTATGATATTACCGAAGAGTCTTTCCACTATCTTCCGCTTGTATTAATCTTGCATGTATAGCTGACGTATTTACTGACTGATTTGCACAGCTACTGCTTGACCGAGTGGCGTAGATCCTTTCCGATTGGCTTTTACTGGTTCCGATATGTATTACGAACATACGAAGCCACATGGCTGTAGACAAATTATCAGATCATAGATATCTTAGGCTTGAATCGAAAAGTAGATCATGTACATTAAATAAAGTACTTTCGGTGTCTAGCTAGCAGCCCGGTGTGCTATTGGATATGTCCGTGTTTATTCCGCAATGTCGCGAATGGTGTGGTCGTGATAACCAACACCCATGTATTGGGTCACTGCTGCAATCTCGGTACTTTCGCATCGTCGTGCTCGCTTACGCTTATTATGCATCCGACTATATGATCAAGCGCGTCGCTGATTAGGCACAGGTCATACTCGCGGTAATGCAGGCAGCCTGATACAGGCCGGCTGACCAGGCTTCTGTTAGCAGTAGGAAAAACAATATATACGCGCGCGGCAGGTACACATTATAGCCACCCGCGACTAAGCCGAGCTCTTATCTCGACCATTATGGACAGGGCACTAAAGTATAGTACTGCGTACAGACAGTTCGACTTACCACACCCACCGGTATTGTTTGCGCTACCGCACACGTGCTCGTATCTATTTAGACAGCAACTTTATCGTCGCGTGTAGTGCTCACTCGATGCTGTAGTTTCAATTTGTGAGCGCACATTAATGGAACATACGCCGTGAGCGCTGATGTCACAGATAGCATGGTTTGCATGTATCCAAGTGAGCGAGTGTACTCTCGATCTATTGTTACGCGGAAGCAGATAGGGACGGCCAACTTGCAAGGGTACACAGTAGGTACCAGGCGCTAATTAATATTTGAAACGCGCTACCCTCTGTAGGTGCGTCAACACTATTGGCAGCGCCATAGTCAGTTTACCATTTGTGCGGCCCCAAGCCTCGCACCGTCAACCAGTATACTAAATACAAATATGGGTAGGAAAATGGGGGCCTAAAAGTGTATATTTACCAATTACTTGCTCTTCTGCTGCTTCTTATGCTCGTTGTACTTGGCGTTTCGGGCAGTCAACTTGCGAGGGCGGCTGCGCCTCTTTTTCTTCTTGGGGTACCAGTCAGGACCCATCACCTCCTCGACGTTTGGCAGGCTTTCCTGGCGGCGCACTTCGGCCGAATTAGGTGGTTGAGGCTTTTCCTCCCAGAACTTAATCGCTTTTGGGCCGTTCTTGCAGGCAATACAGTGCCGCACGCTGCCCCGTCCGCTGATTGTACGGAACGCGTAGCCGTACTGCAGCTTCCAGCAGCAGACGCAGCGCGCTCGGGGGTCCGTCGTAGACCGCTGCGGGCTCAGCAGAAGCGGGTCAATCTTCACTCGGCCCACCATTTTGCAAACTGTGAGTAAGTTAGCAACATATATTGTTTTAACCAATTACTTGCGTCCAAATATTAGCCAATAGCACGGTAATGTAAGGCTGGTATTTATTAATAAGCAACATATTAAAATGTTTTAACTATTACTTTTTTGCTTTAATAGTAATACTATCAGATTTTTAAACAAATACATACTTTACATGCAATAAAAGTGACTAAAAGGCTATGTACCGTGCGCGCATGCATTCATCAGGTGTGGACCACACCACACCGTGTGGTGCACGGGAGCAGATAGCGAAATGCCCGTGCAGCCGCGCGCCTTCATTGCACGGTGGCAGTGGTGAGCGCCAAGTGAAGTAAAAAAGATATATTTCGCAAAGTCCCTAGCGCTGGTTGTGAAGCCTACTTTAGTATAAAAAAATACTATCGTCTCTACTTTTGAAAGTCTGTGGAAAATAGCATCGCCGAGCTCTTATTAATGCGGCCTGTGAAGCTTATATTAATAATTTTAATACTATTGATATCGTCTTTACTTTAAAAAAGTGCTTGGAAAATAACATCCCAGAGCTCTTACAAAATACTGGTCTGTGAAGTCTACATTAATAATGATAAATATCTCTATTTGAGAAGTGTGCAGAGTTTTTAGAAAAAAATAAAGTGGTTACTGTGCCCGATTTGCAGTAAATACGACAGGTTTTGCGCAATAATCAAGTAGCTCGCCTGGCCGTTTGCATCTAATCGGTACGTTTCGTGCTCGGCAAAAAAGTTTACATCACGTCCAATCGCGAGGGCGAGAGACGGTCTGATCGTGCAACAGATCCAGTCAGTGTCGCAGGTCGGCAGGTATTGCCCAATCGGCGCGAGTTAATTGTATGACGCTTTTGGATATATTTGTAATTTTGGCATAGTTAGGTCGAGCCAGAAAGATAGGTGCGGTCGGTAGGAGGGGAGGAAACTCTATTGGATAGGCCGAGTGTAGCCATGCGAAAAGGCAGGAAAAAGCAGCAAGAAAGGAAACGGACGGACTGACAGACGGACGGACAGGCTGCAAGTTTAGGTGGCGGGAAATACGACAGGTTTTGCGCAGCTAAATGTCCATAATCAATCATCTGCGCAGCTCGCCTGGCTGTTTGCAACCAATCGATGCGTTTCGTGCTCGGTAGAAATGTTAACATCACATCCAATCGCGAGGGAGAGCCGCTCCTTATTCAGGCAGATTTCTGTACCCACTTCCTTTAAAATATTGATAGCATCGATTTGGTCATTTCCCCCTTCTGCAAATACAAATCTGTACCTACTGTCCGGATGGATTATGCATGTATGCATGTTATGATTGCGCACGTACTGATTGCGCATGTACTGTACGCCGCGATTGGATCATAAAGACTTAAGACAAAAGCAAGCACACCAACCATGAGCCACCAGAGAATACTTCTGCTGCTTATGGCTGCCTTCTTCGCTTGGGTTTCTGCGCAAACACCCCCTGGACAAGCCGACAAGTCGAAGCTGATTGCTCACGATGTTCTCATGAAGACCACGTCACTGTCAGAAACCACAATTGCTACTTCATCTAAGCGGTTCTTGAGGCTCTACGACGCAGAAGTCCGAGATACAGTCCGCGGAGATAATGACGTAGACCGCGAGGAGAGAGGAACTACGCCGTTGTTATCGAAGGTCGACGATCTGATACACAAAGTATTTAAATCCAATCCGGAGCAAGCACAAATCAAGGCGTGGATGAAGTCTCGAGTGCACCCTCAAGCGATTTTTGATACTTTGCGTCTAGCAAAGAGTACGACGAAACTGAACGATGACCCGAATCTTCTCCTTTGGCTCAAGCTCGTTGCTGCTTTTAGAGCTAAGAATGGTAACCAGGCGTTTTCGGATCTGGATCTTTACTACTTGCTACTGAAGAGAAGCAGTGGCGAAGAGCTGAAAATACTTATTGAGTCTTTTCGGAAGACTGGAGCCTTAAAGGAGCTAGGCAAAAGTATGCAGAAATCGCTATCTGGTTCGTGGGTGTCAAAAACCTTACAGCACGAAACAGATCCAAAAATTGTTTACGATACATTACGTCTTCAAGAGGCTGGCACGAAACTGGTCGATTCGCCAATCTTTCATCAGTGGCTGGCCTACGCGCAGCAGTATCGGGCGCAGAAGGGGAATCACTGGTTCGGAGACGACGATATGCTCGACCTGTTTCGAAAAACCATGCCGGAAAAAGACGTGGTAACGCTTCTGCATTTGCTTCGAAACGTCCCGGGCATGAAAGATCATGGCGATACGATGCAGCGGTTCTTGTTTTTATCGTCTAAAACCAGCCGAAAAATGATGCACGACGTGTGGCTGAACTACGACGTAACGCCCGAACAAGTTTTCAAGATTTTACGCTTGGTAAAGGTCAATATGGACGCTGTGGATACGAACGCAATGTTTATACATTGGCTTAGGTACGTCAACTTGTACAGGAGCCACACAAAAAAGAACGTTTTATCCAGCGTACAAATGGTGCATTTCCTTGCGGACACCAAACCGTTGCGGTCAGAGTGGCAATTTGCCACATTTTTTGAATCGCTCAAGGACGTCCCTGATTTGAAGAGGCTGGCTGAAAACATGCAAACTTACCTATTCCAAAACTGGCTGCACACGGAGTGGGACCCGAAGGCTGTGTCGAGTATGCTGGCCATTCCTTTTCCTACGAGTGCTGTGTATCTGCCGAAGAACGATCCCATTTACAAGACTTGGGTGGCGTACACCCTTTACTATACAGAGAGGAAGGGCGGGGTGTCGTTGCTAAATAAAGTGAAGACACTGCTCGACAACGACAACCCTATCGGCGCACTTACCGCAGCTATGAAAGCTCAGTGATCCGCTGCTCCGCTATTAATGAGATTTCTTCAAGCAATAAAAACCGACTTCAGGAATCTTTGGAGATTGTTTTACTGTTACTGCAGCGAATAATTCTACTGATTAATATTGAATACAGGATGATCCTTCTGCAACCAACTTACTTTTTTTAGAAAGTTGGATTTCCCTGGACAGCTAGAAATTTCGGGTGCGTGTACGTACGTTAGGTGAGCTGCTTTCGGCATACAAACAGCAAGTTCTTGAGTGATCGCTGTGCGGATACGACTAGCTGCAAAGGTTTCGCCCGAGGGCGGGCGACGTCGTAATGAATGTTCCAGGCGACGACGAGCTCAGCCAAACGTTGGTCTCATTCGAGGGTTTCTTTAAATGCGATTCAAGGCTCTGTCCACGGGCAAGACTTTAAGACGTAAACTTCCTACAACAGGTCAAATGAATTGAGATCCCACGACGCAGCGGGCAGGGTTATGGTATTGTGAGCTCTGAACATACAGTAGTATACAACGCTACTGTGCACCTCGTCACGGATCTGGTGTAGACGAATTCCAAAGCCTGTATTTGTAAAACTCAAGATGTTAATCAAGACCCCAACGCACCTCGAAAGGAAGCATGGCGTGTTGGAAAGAGTATCTTTACAGCAATATTGGATAACGATTCGAATCTCCTGCTTTGGCTTACCGGGGTCGATGAGATTTGTTCGGTGCACACTCAGAATGAGCGAGGAGACTAGGCTGATCCCCATAAGGAAGATGGTCAATAAGCGCATGTCAAATCTCTTTGGGGGGGGGGCAAATTGGAAAATGATGGTGTAAATAAAAGCTTGCCAAAACAAGTGTGCTGCCGTTTCTCTGTTGGACTCTACCAGTGTGCCGTAACGGACAATTATTAAATTAAAGGACATTTTTTCGCTTGACTTACGAAACTTTTGTATTAGTATGGTACTTCAGCAAGGACAAAAGGTACGGTGAGTTAATGAAAAACAATGTGCCTAATTAATTTCCCCTTGATAAAAGCTGTTGGTCGTAAAGTAAAGATGAAGTGGAATGACATTAGCCAGTGACGATATCGTAATATCATACTATGAAAATTGAATACGGGAGCGCTAAGGTCAAGGTTAAGTTAACAAGGAAATTAAAGACATCTTGCGACGTGGGTGTACATACTGCTTCTCGCCCATGTAGAAAGTAATAAAATCTGAAGAGATACTAACTTAAACACAAGCAAATGTGTCGTAGTGGGGTTTTAATATGGTACATGTACTCCAGTAAGGATGCAAGACAGCTCTTGCGCACGCATGAAAATAACAACAGCGCTCCCCCTCGTTAGCCGTCACGGAAATGTGTTCAATATTATAGAGGTTTTAAGATAGACAGCAGCAATTAGCGTCACAGATGGATAATCTTAAACATCTACTGCAGCAACCTGTCTGTCCGTCACACTAAATTGTCGTGCCTGTCACGCTTTTCCGGACAAATCATTGGATAAAATAATTTAAATATTTCTACTGGCTGACGAGCGCCGCGAAGGTGTCTTCAATTGGTTAAAACTAGATGGTGTAGTTGACATCAATAAATGCATGTGTTTCCCAGTTTACATATGGGGATTTGCACAAGGCTATACATTATCCGAAGGCGGCATCGTTTAAATATTATATACTTTTTCATAATGCAAGTTGTTATTGATATTTGAATACTACAGTAAACGGAGGGCAGGGTGCTTAGCGTACACGTAAGCATGCGTGTTTCCGAGGACATGGTTTAAGTATACTAAATACTCTGTACTCAGTAGGATCTGCGTGTTACACTGAATAAAATGATAATTTCAATATATTTACTGTAAAAATATTAGCATTAATAAGTTATCTGAGTGGGTTTCTGGTATTGCTAAATCGTACATGTTACATGTACAGCAGTAGCCGGTCGTGTAGACTGGCCGTAAGAACAAAACTGTGCTTATAAACGTTGTCACTTGATCCACAAAGATAGATAGTGTTAGATTGACGTGTGAACAAAAATAAGTTATATGTGCTGATGACAATTACTACTGTAAGCGAATTGAACTTGACCATTGTTTCCTAAGCGGTTTTTTAGACAATAAAATTCTGATACTTCTTAATAGGTAGACGCGTTGCCGACAAGGGCGTAGAATAAGGGTTTATATGCAGCGGTAAGATAACAGTGAGAGGTGTCAATTATGGTTATTATAAGTAGGCCCGTAAAGAAACGTTAATCAACTTAGAGCCTGGAATCATCAATTAAGTATCAAATAAAAATACCGCCGTCAACAACAACAACAGCAAGGCGTCTTGCGTTTTATATATCAAAGGCTATAACCATAACAGGCACAGATTAAAGTGTCTAATGACTAATTCTGAATCAGCACAAAATGAACACACTTCAAGGCATAAAAAAATGCTACAGCTTGAATATTTTTATTAAATATTCAAACTGTAGCACTTTTAATTTTCTTTCAAAGTAGCGAGTTTGGTTTGCGAAGTGGTTAATAGTCAGTTTATTACAAGCTTAACCAGGCAGTACAAGCGGGTATTTGATGCAAGCTGGACAGATATTCTTTGCATTGATGCAATCTAGGTCCTTAGAAACGGCCCGTGAAATCGAGCACGACGCTAAACTAAATATATTATTTAGCGATTTTAGACTGAAGTGCAGGTGCTTCTGGGTGGAAGATTAAGGTACAGTGATAGCCAACAACAATAAAGAGATTTTGCCAAGATCACTAGCGTAATCGTTTATGAGCATGGTAAGTATGATGCTAGGGGCTCAGTCTTTTGTACCGGTAGAAATATTTACACGGCTTACTGGGAGCTCAGCATTTTGTAGTAAATGAAACGCAGATTTATGAAATTAAAGAAGTCGATTTAGGAATATATGGGACTCAGAGGATTTGGACTGATTATCTCGCCGAAGCGAAGCGAAGGCGGGAAGGCAAAAATCTGGAGTAAAACCGAAATTACCGCCGCGTAGCGGCGGCGCTCGGCTAGTACCTTATCAACTTGACAAGGGTTGTAAAACCCGACAGGAAGCCACAACAGCGCGATATACACTGATTTTGTCATTTTCACATAACATAATGTTTAAGTTTGCGGGCTACCCGCACAGTGTGCATGTCATGACAAATTAGAACTAATCAAAGTATGGTCTGTGCAAAACTCCGTCGCGAGATGCCCGACGTATCGACACTATAGTAGACCAAGAGGCGTTATATTCTTCGAAGTTTATGATTACGACTTGGGGACAAAACACACCCTTCTATTGCCCGCGACGTCATCAGTAAGACGGAAGACACATGCATAATGTACTAGTGTTTATCAGAAATAATTAAAGTAACGTTTTTATCAAATGAAGGGCCAGCGGTCAAAAACACTAAAACCGCAATGTTCAGGATTGTGAGCAATAGTTTTTGCTTCTGGAAGGCGCGACTACTGATCTTCCCTTTCAGTAGTCATA